TCGGAACCGTGTGGGCTGTGTGGGCTTGAGCCCACCCATCAATTTCAAAAAATTATATGGGCTAATATCTCTAAAAAAAACGAGACCACTAGTTGCCTTTCTAAAAAAAAAAAAAACGAGCCCACCCAGCAAAAATTTGGTTCCGACGTCACTGGCCTCTGACAATGAATTTATTGCCTAAACTGTTGAAAAATGATGCATAATCAGCGGCTAAATTTTTATATTTTGGCGGGCAGTAAATAGATGCTAGTGTTATACTATAATTTTTGGTTTGCACTAAGATTAAAGAAGCTTGTATAGTCTCTGATTGAACAGGGGGCAGGGCGTGGTGTTTAATGTGTTTTTTTATAAGGATTGCTGCTCCTCCATGACATTTCCCATCCGGGTGATTTGCAGAATAGGTTACGTAATTGTGAATGTTGAAATATGATTTCTCATCGAAGTGAGTTTCGGAAATTAGTAGAATATCGACTAGATTGAGTTTCAGAAATATTTCCAAAATATTCGTATTTACGTTGAATGACGCCATTCGCGTTCCAATGACATATTTTAATTGCTTCTACCATTATTTAAGCTGTTTACTAAAATGGTTAGCATATTTAGAATAGCTGAATTTTGTTGGTATATTGTACATAATTTTGAACTCGGTTAACAATTCATTTATTGGAGTGAAAGAATCTGGTGATGAGTTTTGAACGAAACGATTATTTTTAGTGGCATCGGCGTAGGATACGTTGTTAAGATTTGAACGATTGCCATTTTTTAGTAAATGTTTATTTTTTATTCATACCGCGAAAAGTACGTCGGAACTATTACCTCACCCTTTATAAACGATCTATACTACGCATGGAAAAAACTCTTCATTAAACATAATATTAAGGTAATCTTTACCTCAAATAACACTCTTTCAACATTATTTACTAAATTAAAATCTAAAGTAGATCCGAAAATTTTATGTAATTTAGTATACAAATTGAATTGTCTAAATTGCCAAGAATTTTACATTGGCGAAACTAGCCAAAACTTACAAAAAAAATGTCTCAACATAGAAATAATTCAAAAAATAAAAATCAGTATAGAACAATGCTCTCAGATCATATTAACACCCTTCTACATAAAATTGATTTTCTATACCCGAGTATTTTACATTTTAAAACCAATATATTTAAAAGAAGATTTAGTGAAGGTTGTCTAATATCATTAAGCAACAAAGCAATCAACAAGAGACTTGACAGCTAATCACTCTGAAATGATTACAAAATATTCCTCGACAATTTTTCAAACCATATTATCACTGAATAAACGTGTCCCTTTTTACTACTTTCCGTAACCATATGTTTTTACCAGCTTGCATATTTTAATAAAAATGTTAGTTTTTTAATTCTAATTCATAATTAGTTTTAAATGTTTGAACTAAATAGCTTGGCGTTAATATTGTGTCAATTAGTGTTGTGTAGTGTTTAATTGTTTTTGTCTATGAGTATCTATTTTTAAGTCTAATATGTTGTATCAATTTCCATTACTAAATTAATTACAAATAAACTTTTTAGTATTGCACTAAATGTCGGTCTCGATGAAGACTGAAACGTATGGATTATTAAAGCTGTTTTCCTAATTGCTTTAGTTTTTTTCACTTGGTGATATTGCCTGACTCAACACACTTGTTTTAATATATATATATATATATATATATATATATATATATCTCGGTTCTCTTTTTGATATGTAAAAACAAACAAATTAGCTCACTATTTCGTTTTTATTTACGACTTCTGTTTTTGCGTTTTCCGCCCGACTATCCGTTTGACATTATGAACAAGATTCTTTTTTTATTTTTGAGGTTGAGGATACTAGTCTATGCGATGTTTGAATAAAACTTTTACAATTGTGATGCCTGCATTCATTAATTGAATGACCTATTTTCTTACAATAACTACAGGTCTTAGAAAAATTATTTTGGGTTATATTTTGTTCTAAAAAAACAATTATTAGCGTTGTGCCCTATTTTTTACATAATTCACAATTTAAGTCAACGTGAGATGAAAGTAAATTAAATCTTTAGTTATTGCAAAGTTGATAGCATCGTTTAAGTCATCGAATCTACATGATTTAATTAAATTTTTTAATGGAATTTTGATACCATCGACAAAACTTCTAACAGCCATCTCCATATAAACATTTGTACTCCTTCCGCTATTACTTGCCCTTGAGAATCGCAGTCTTTACTATACATTTGATCAACTATATCCAAAATTCTGTCGCCAAAAGATTTAACTGATTCATTTTGAAATTGCTTAATATCGATACGTTTGGAATATAAAGTGTACACAGTAGTTTAGTCATAATATTACATAAATGTGTTTTTAATACTGAATAATTTGAAATTTTATTACGGATAACGTTTACTAACACTTTACTTGGTAACTAACTTACTTTTTACTATTTAAAATAATTTATATGCTTCCTCGGGTAACAAATTTACATGTAACGAGTCACATGCATCAATAAATGCATCTTGTGATTGAATGGTTCCTTGCCCTTGCTTAGGTATAAATCCTTGTCCAGGTTATCCGCTAGGCTCGAATATACACAATAGAATCGCCTTCTTGACTACCACTTAATTACTCAGTTTTAACACATTATTTTAGTTTTATTTGATAATTTGTTTTATTATTGTGGTATTTTATACTGGAGTACTATTTTATCATAGTTTTGGTTTTTATTTATTACAGTTATTAGTTATTGGTTGATATTTGTAGAATAATTAGTTATTATTTTGTTTATTATTTAGGAACGCGCCGATTTTATCACCACAATCTTGATATATTAACACTTAATCTTGAATTCACTAGTTGAAGTTTGTTTTTACACACACATTTTTTCATTATTTTATTATTGATTTCAGAGTAGGTATCATAATTAGCTGCCACCAAATGAGCAGATAATAATCGTCGGAGTCTGAATTCTCTATTCATTCTCAAGTGCATAGCTCATTGTCAAGTCGCATAGCGCATTGAATAGAGAATTCGGGCTCCGACGATCGTTGGTGAGGCAGAAGACAGTATATTGAATGACTTGTAAAGGATAACACATAATGCTGACACACTGATGATGAGACAAACCTAGTCTCGAAACGTTTGTGAAATTATTATTTAATAAATAAGTGCAAAAAAGAGTGTTGTTTGTTCATATTTCTAAATTAATATCTATCTATCCACTCAGAATATATTTGTCATACATTGGGTTGGGGAAAAAGAAATCCATTATTTTTACGTGAACTTCAAGACTTTATTTAACATGTTTTGCATTGTCTGATTTAGGTTAAATATGCACCATTTTGTTCTATAATTTGTTGCCATTTTAATGGTAGCTTCATTATGCCTCTCTCATAAAAGTCTTGGTCCTTATTAGCTAAAAACTCCAGCAATTGATTTTCACACTCTTCCCTTGATGCCAATTTCTTGTCACTAAAAAAGTTTAACCCAACCCAACCCAATATATATATACTAGCTGACCCGGCGAACTTTGTTCCGCCATAATGGCAATAAATAAGCTTTTTTTTTAATGGAAAAAATAAAAATAGAAATAAAATAGCAACATTAATCATTCATAATGATTTATTCATTTTAGTGCCTCTTCATTGAAGTACCTTCTTATACACAACATTTTTTGCTTTGTTATCAGGCGCAAAAACAAACAACGCAGATGGTTTTCCGACCCGTGAACATGCCACATATAGTTGACCATGGGAAAAACATGAATGTTCCAAATTCAAACCACAAACTTTTAAGGATTGCCCTTGTGATTTGTTGATGGTCATGGCAAATGCGAGACGTATTGGAAATTGAATCTTTTGAATTCAAACGGCAGATCGGTTGGGATCATCGGTATTCTCGGAATGAGAACTTCCTCACCTTTAAATTTTCCTATCATTATGGTAGCGTAAATTACATTGTTCATCAATTTTGTAACCACCAAACGCGTACCGTTGCACAGTTTTGGTTGGTTTATGTTCCTAAGCATTATTACTACGGAGCCAACCTTTAGGAGTAAATTGTGCGGTGGTAAGCCAGGCACGTCCAAAGAATTTAAAAATTCAATTGGATAGTTGGTGGCTTCATCTTCATTTGTGACGCAATCAATAGATTTGAATGAAAGCATTGTTCCAATTATTTTATTTTGAATTATGTGGTTTAGGTCATCTACATCTTTATTCTTTGCTGCTAAAATTGCCCGCTCACTCAACCATTCATTATTTTTGCTATTAGAAACAATTTCTGGAAATACATTGTTGATAAGTTCGTCTTTTGATGAGACAAAATTACAAAAATTGTTTGGAAATGATATTAATCCGCTCGATTCATCGACAGGTACTTGACCATTACCGATACTCAGCAATTGCTTCGAGAAAACTTCAGCAGATGTATCATTAAGCAATGTAACTCTCATGTTTGTTGTCAGTTGCAGTTTCTTCACATAGCGCCATAGATTTGACGATTTGAGGCAAGCGTTTATTTCGTCGGCAGCTGTAGATCTTGGAATTACTGGCAGTATTTGGCGGAAATCGCCAGACAGTAAAATCATTGCTCCTCCGAAACATCTTGAGTCATTGCGTAAATCTTTTAATGTTCGGTTAAGTGCTTCTGATGCACGTTTATGCGCCATTGTGCATTCGTCCCAGATGATGATTTTCGATACCGCTAAAACTTTGGCCATTGCTGAGTGTTTTGCAATATTACACGTTGGTTCTTCAATAGTTTGAAGATTTAACGGTAATTTGAATGCAGAATGAGCCGTACGGCATCCTTCTAACAATGTGGCTGCTATTCCAGAAGAAGCAACTGCAACCGCTATGTTTGATCTCGCCCGAACACTTGCTAAAACTAATGACATGAGGAATGTCTTGCCAGTTCCACCAGGAGCATCTAGAAAATATAAACCACCATTTTCATCATCGATTGCCTTCATTAAAGTATCATAAACTTCCTTTTGTTGGCAATTCAACAGGGAACATTTGTTTGAACTACTAAATCTAATTCCTGGTGGTCATATTCACGTTCCCGTTCCAATTCTCGATTAAATGTGTCATTCATTTCACGACATGGTGCTGGCATGCCTAACCTGATTAATAAATTACCGCACATGAGGTAACAGATATCTTCGATCAAGAGTAAAGCACGATTGTGTACTTCCTCATTCATCTCAATATCGAAATTTCTAGAACTAACACGAATTTGATGTAAAATATCTTCTGACATATTGTCCTTGTATTTGTGCCACAGGTTACATGGATTTGATGGAAAACATGTCGAAATAATTATAGCGAATAATGTGCGTATCTGGCTTGGAGATGCAGAGATAATGGCTTCAGCGATTGTCGTATCCCAATGACTATCGTTTTCTAATAATTTCAATTCCTCACATGCAGCACGATATGTTGGAAATATTACATGATTAACAGTTCGTAGTGACTCAAATGACGTTGGCCCACGCACATTTACCAGCAACAGCCGCAAATAAAAACATTCAATATTCTTTGGATGAACTGTATACATTCGACCAAGAGCTTCAGTAGAACGCACATCTGGATACCCAGGAACCGCATTGCCTTTCTTCCGTCTTTGAAAATTCTTCGATAAAGCATTCCAAGTATAATAACGTGGCATCTCCGAGTAAAGCAAAGTTTGTGCAAACTGATCTCTTTGACAAATTGCAAAAAAACTGGTTAATGTAGTTGCTGGAGGTGTTTCAGCACGTTGCATAGCATTTGAAGCCGTAAAATATACTCGTTGACCATTCTCCAGATGCACCGCCAAATGCATAACAGTAGGATGACGTTCGTGAATGGGAAATGCGAATATACGCCAAATCGCTTCATTACAGTTCACATAACGACCAACTTGATAGCGTGAAATTTCATCGTTGTCATTCGAGGATTGCAATCCAAAAACAGCCATATCACTGCCTTTCGTGACATATTTGCAAATATATTTGATGGACTTAACTGAATTACAGTATTCAATGTTGCAATGCGTCTTGAACGTTTTAGAAATGAGTGGCGAATATGGAACAATCCAACTGTTGTCAACAACGAAATCCATTCTTTTCACTTTCGTTGTGACAGTTTGACCGTTGTCATCTGGTGATCGACGACGATACAGCGGATAACCATCATTGCCAGTGACAGTCTCCGCTGTTAATTTCCGTGGATATCGTTTAGAGCACTTTCCATCGACCATGCAAGGTGATTGGGGATTGATGGCACCACACGGTCCATGAATCATATTAGAAGTAACAACATCATGTAGGTCTGGATCGACTTCATAATCAGGAATCTCGGCACATATGATATCATCTATTTGGTCAGGCTGAATTCTTTCCACTAACCAAATAAGAATGTGTGCGTGTGGCAAGCCTCGCTTTTGCCATTCGATTGAATACATCCAGCATCGAGTTTCTCCAAAGACGCGCTCTTTAACAATAAAGTTCATCAGGGACCGAATTTTTTGCCTGAATATACGTGCTGTAATTCGTGCCTATCACTTGATGTTTGTCCGGGAAGCAGCAATTCAGTAATTTCTATCCATTTTGGGTTGCAGGTAAAAGTTATGAAAAGATCTGGTCGACCGTAATGACGAACATATGTCATTGCATCTTGTGCATATTCATGCATATGTCGTGGGCTACCAATGTATGTCGCCGGCAGAATAGTTAATCGGCCAATATTAGCTGCATTTCCTTCAGTACTAACTGCATCACGTAAATGGATGTACTCCTCAGAACGCAGTTTGGCTTGGTTGAACCTAATGAAATTTAAACGTTCCGTTTCTATTTTAACATACATGTCAACGCAATATTGCTGAAACAATCGACGAAACCGCAGCAAATAGTTGTCAGCATTATGACGAATCATCAAACGATATGCGTAATAATTCATTGAGCTAACATTCTTTGTAGTTTCTTCGCCTGAAATTTAAAATTTGAAAATTATTCATTTTATAGGCAAATTTTAAAGGCAAACAATACAGACATTGATTATTTTTTAAAAAAGCTTTATTTTAAAGCGGAGTCTTTCACAAATAAATGAAATAAATTATGATACTGATTCTCACCATTCAATGGATTTTTCATTTTAATATTATAATAATATCCATCTTCTCCTTGCCAAAACATCAGCGGGTATTGCAATGAGTCATATGATCGATGTGTTTCAGATATTTGTTGCAGTTGCCCAGTGTCGCGACGTGAAAGCACAATATCGCGTTTTTCCAATTGTTCACCAACAATCAGGATGGCAACTTCGTCTACTATTGGAGCATTAAATGTCCTTTCGTGTGTTCCAGATGGTCGTTTATCTGCTCTGATGACAACTTTATAGTCATCGCTTGGCATGAGCTCTAAAGCACTCTTAAACAACCAGACCAACGCATGATGTTCATGAAGCAGACACTGTAAGTCTTGAAGAATTGCTCGCTTCATTCCTGCATTGATCTCTAGTCGTCGATCAAGTTGTTCTTCCCTGTTGCCCATGAAATATATTTGTAAAAATTTATTCTGTGTATCTTCAAAAGGTAGTAATGATCCAATTCGATGATGAATTTGTCCTTGTATCTACAAAATAAAAACCCGACAGTATTAACTGTGTTATAAAATCTTTTTTCGGTGGGAGAAAAAGTTAAGAATTTGCTAATAGATGAAGTAAGTTATTCTTTAACTACATTCTATATAGGTACAAAAATAAGTACCTTAAATGTCGGATTAAATCCTCGTTCTTCGATAATATCTGCTCCAAATGACGTCATTTGGAAACAACCATTGTATTTTTGAGTATTAGCAAGAAAGTGGCGTGATTCTTGTGTTTCGCCACAAAGCAATGAATACAATGGTTCAGGTGGCGGAGTCAACGATGGCAATTTGACTTTACCATTAAGGCAGCATAATCCAGGCGTTTCTTGGGAAAACTTCAATGCACCACAATACTTGCAAACTACGTCCATTTTGCCAATGCAGACGCTAGGATGCAAGCTATAATCATAGCTGCAATCGTATTGAAATGCTTCTCGATTCAAATTTCTTCTTCTGCATCGCAAGTTAACTATTTGTTGATCTATGTTGTTACCTCGAGCACGAAGTCGAGCCATTCTTTCGCGTTGCTGTTCACGTGCAATTCTTTCTTGTTCTTCAGTTCTTGCATTTACAGTATTTTGCAGTCTTCTTGCATTACTGCTTTGTCGGGAAAGATTCGATCGTCTTGGTCGCGGCATTATTAATGAAACTTCACTTCACCTTATTTATATATATATATATATATATATATATATATATATATATATAAAATCAAGAACTAATATTCATTCACTAACTAATATTCAACATGAGGTAATAGAGGTTAGAAACACCGAATGACATTTGACAATCGAATGCAAATGTCATGGATGAAATCATTGATAGTATCATAGATTGAATAAACTACATGGATAGTTTATAAATAATTAATTTTAAATTAGAATGAAATAAAGGGATAAAAAGTATCCTATGTCCTTCTCCTGACTCTAAACTACCTCCCTGCCAATTTTCATCTAAATCGGTTCAGCCGTTCGTGAGTTATAAGTGGTAGCACATAAGGCGATCCTCTTTTATATATATAGATATATATATATATATACGAGGTGTGTTCAAAAAGTACCCGGAATTACTAATAATTAAATTTCGCGGGTCTGGAGTGTCTGATTGTCAAATTTTTTTTTTATTGTGTTGGTATACATGCCCCTAAAGTATGATGAAATTTTCAGCGATATTCACTGTTTACTTTGTCTGTGGTAGTCGCTAAGGTTCGACGTGTTTTTCTGAGCTCGGCGATTTTTACAATGGAAGAATTGAAAAGTCAAAGAATTTGTATTAAATTTTGCGTAAAAAATGAAATAAAGTGTTGCAAAGTGCAAAATTCCTCACATGTCTATTCAACCTACAATCAATAAAATTATTGCAGTAAATAGAGAGGAAAAAAACGTGTGTCCTGCGAATTTTTTTACTGTGCTTCAATATGCTTGATATTTTGGAAATAGGCTAATCTTAAACTTAAGTTTAGAAGTGAAAACAATTTGCACTCTTTTACCACCCCCGGCATTAATTGGATTATAACTCATTTAATTCCGATTTTATCAGAACTTATAATAAACTATTCTAAAGGCAATTAAATGACCTACAACTTTCTCTATCATAAACTTTACCGTAAATTCTCTTATTTTGGAACGGCAAAAGGTTAAAGGGCTCGAAAAACACTCTGGTTGGACAGCCGCGCACACTTTAAACAATCATAGCTCTATCAATATTTGTGTAACAGTAAAACAATAAAAAGCAATTATTAGTCAGAAAAAGACCTTAAATTTTCATCTATACGAGTATACCTTTATACGTATCTTTTATTCTTTCAAAGATATAATAATGAGAAATTGGTTGTTTTTTTCAAAATAGATTTTTTTTCATGAAATAATGAGTTTTTTGGAAATCGTTTGTACTAAAGTTGTGGTATTCTCTAGAATCCATCAAAATTTCTTAAACCAAGTTAATTCTAGATAGAATACGATAATTTTTAATTTTGGTGGAAATGGTACAAGTAAACTATTTCATTTAAATGTAAAAAACATTGTATGCGTCAGAACTACTCATTTTAAAGCCTATTTTGAGCACTATAACAATCCATTTGCATATCTAGATTAATATTGTAAGAACACTACAAAACAGCGATTTATTAAGATTTTAATTTATATAATTTTGTTCATTTCATTATTTTCGTTAAAATGTATATTTCTGAAGATATAAGCAAACTACGCTTTTACTTTTTCTTTAAAGTTTAGTTAGAAAATTATAATCTGTCAAATTGAATTTTAATATAGGGTATATAAATGAACTGACATTTCACAATCGTGAGACGCATGCGCAGACTACATCACCTGTCAGACGCATATTGACTATATTTTATTATATTACTTTAATTTTTTGCACATCTCAGCAGCTTTTTGGTAATAATAATGTCGGCATTACATTTTCCTTATTTATAATCATAAATATATTATATTTTAATAGCCTATAAGTGAATGGAAATGTATGGCAAATGACAGTTTTCATTTATTTTCAATGTCAAACTATGCTTCAAATATTTTCAAGGTCAAACAATGATAAGCGGTTTCTTGTTATTTTTTCCATTTATTTCTACAATCTAACTATATTTCTATGAATCAAAAAATCCTAGAAAATTCCCCGAACAAACTTCAGGTCGATTTATGAAAATCCAAATAATAGTTTAAAAGGATAAACCATTCATACCCTGTTACAGAAGAATTTTATATATAAGATATATATATATATATATATTGAATGGTAGAGTCTTGGATTTGTGTATATTTTGTAGAGTTTCGAACAAGAATCCAAAAATAATACAAAATAAAAAACAAGAAAAGTTTTTAAAAAAACAATTTCTTTATTTAATTATTTGTTTATTGTCGACGTTTCGGAACTAGGTACGTTCCATCTTCAGGACATCTGTCAAGAAACATGATCTTGATGAGATTTTTGCAAACAATATGTTTAGGAAAAGAAAATAGATTTTTCTTAAATAATGAATTAAATTGTAAAAAATATAATAATGTACAGAAATATGATAATATGTTCAAAATAAAAATGATAAAAATAAATGAGTGGATTATCAAAACAGGATATTAAACATAATAGAAAATTTTTTTGAAAGTTATGAAAATTTTTTAAGAAAAGGTTAATGACAAAGTTGAATTAATTACCTGTATGTTTGAATATTTGTTAGCACTTTTTCACTAAACAAGCTTTTTTAACAAAATCTAATTATTCGGCGGAAAATTAACTCACAAAATCATTTTTGTTAAAAAAGCTTGTTTAGTGAAAAAGTGCTAACAAATATTCAAACATACAGGTAATTAATTCAACTTTGTCATTAACCTTTTCTTAAAAAATTTTCATAACTTTCAAAAAAATTTTCTATTATGTTTAATATCCTGTTTTGATAATCCACTCATTTATTTTTATCATTTTTATTTTGAACATATTATCATATTTCTGTACATTATTATATTTTTTACAATTTAATTCATTATTTAAGAAAAATCTATTTTCTTTTCCTAAACATATTGTTTGCAAAAATCTCATCAAGATCATGTTTCTTGACAGATGTCCTGAAGATGGAACGTACCTAGTTCCGAAACGTCGACAATAAACAAATAATTAAATAAAGAAATTGTTTTTTTAAAAACTTTTCTTGTTTTTTATTTTGTATTATTTTTGGATTCTTGTTCGAAACTCTACAAAATATATATATATATATATATATATATATATGCATTCAATCAATAATATAATTAAAAATATTTTAGATTATCTTGATCTCAATATTGATGTAATGTTATATCAATCAAAATCGGTAAATCAAAGTTTTTAAAGTTTTTTTTGTTTTTACATTTAACAACGTACTTCGTTCCCTGTTTTCTACTTTAAAATCTAAATCTCCATCAGACAGAGTCAACGATGCCGTTTATAAAATTAATTGTTTAGATCGTGGCAGTTGTTCCATCGGTGAAAAAAAACGCGCTCATAAGTATAAGACACACTGTCTTATACTTATGAACGCTCCTAATAGTGTTAACATTAGATCAGATCACAACCTGTTACATAATTTGTATTTAAATTTTTTGACAAACTAGTTGGTTTGGTATTTAGCCTTAAGGCAAGTTACATGAACTTCCCGATATGTTTAAATAATAGACTTAATCAATAAAAAATAAATTAATTTATGAGTCATTAAAAGTATTCCAAGTGGATTTATTACACATAATTGAAAACGAACGAACACCTTGACTCCGAGTATTTTCTAAAAGCAAATTTTATATAATTGAACCAGTTTTTAGGACTTTAATGGTTTATTGTGTTCAAGACCAAGTACTCTATGATTATACCAAGTAAATAGTCTAATTTTAATTTTAACAAATCTCAAAAGAACTACTCATTTTCTCAAACTTTGATGAATTTTTAAAATCAAACTATCTGTCGTAAGGCCGTAATATTTCAGTAAGTTCTATAGGACCATGGTATTTATCACTAAAAAAAGTCCATAAAAATCGGCTTAAATTTTTTTTCAATAGTTAATTACAAGAAAACGGCTCGGTAGATTTTCACCTAAAACTAATCAGTATCATTCTCAACTAATATCTTTCGAACAGTTTTTGATTTTTTAAAATCGGTTCGGTAGGATGAGCTTAAATGTGGACGAAAAGTATAACACTTTTTTCCAAATTATAAAGAAACGGCTTGGCAGATCGTCGCACAAAACTGGCAAACGATAGTCCTCACCGAAATACATCAAATGGCTTTTAAATTTCTGAAATCGGTTCAGGCGTTTTTGAGAAAACGCCGATCAAAGATCTCATTTTGACAAAATGTCAAAAAAACGACACCAATTTTTGCAAACTTTGACGAATTTTTAAAGCTAAAAGAGTTGTCGTAGGACCGTAATATTTTAGTATGACCTAGAAAACTATGGTATCTACCGTCAAAAAAAAATCATAAAAATCGTCGAAATTTTTTTTTAAAAAACTTTATTGCAAGAAAACGGCCCGGCCGATCTTTACCAAAAACTAATCAGCACGATTCTCAACCAATATCTATCGAATGGTTTTTGAATTTTCAGAATCGATTCAGAATTGCGGGCTAAAACGTGAACGAAAAATTTTTCACTTTTCTGCAATTTACAAAGAAACGGCACGGCCGATCGCCGCACAAAACTTAGAAAGGATAGTCTTCATCGAGATACATCGAATGGCTTTCAAATTTTTTCAAATCGGTCCAGCCGTTTTTGGAGAAAACGTCGATTTACGGCAAAAAATCTGTTCACACACACACACACACATACTTTTTTCAAATTTGGTCTCATTCGATTCAGAATGGCTTGAAACGTCGAGAAAACATAAAATTAGCAAATCGGATTTTTTGATGAAAACATAAACTTCTCCTTCGGGAAGTTAATAATTAATATCGCCATCCATTTAAGATCAACAATTTAAGTATTTACTTCCTGATATATAAAAACAACACGCACACACATGCACATAGATTTTAAGTCAAGTGTATCTTCTTAAAAATTCGTCCGTTCAATAATCAGTTTGTTACCAAATCGTCATCCCTTAACATCGAGGGAATAATACTTTTTGTCTCACATAACAAACTCAAGAAAGACATAATTAAAAAAAATGAA